CCCTGACTTTCCAGCTCTCCGGCCCATTTGCCATCATTAAGTGCAGATGGAGTGGCAGCACGGTGGAGTTGGGGGGCTCCAGCCAGGGCCCAGACCCACAGAGACAGCCTTGCACCCCACAGTGAGCCCCTCTCAGGCTGGGGTCAGCCCTATCTCCCCACAGCCCTCCTTGGCTGTCAGGAAAATGAATTGTTCCTTTTTGGAGACCCCTGCTGACCCCCCAGCCAGCCCCTCTCATCAGCACCAATGTCCCCCCTGTCACCATCCCCTGCCCTGCCAAAAGGGCAGGCAGCACTCTGGATATCCATCCCAGTGGGATCTGACCTGGATCTGCTCCAAACCAGAGCCTTTTCCCAGCCATCAGCTGCTCATAATCACCCTCTCACCATGTGTAGAGATGGGATGGGATGTGATGGGATGGGATGGGATGGGATGGGATGGGATGGGACGGGACGGGATGGGATGGGATGGGATGGGATGGGGATGGATGCAGCTTTCCTGCTATCCACAAGCCTGGCAGAGGAGCAATACCCACACCAGGGCAGGATCTGGCCCCTCCAGGGACTCTGGGATGCCAACTTTTCAGAGAAACAGCGGATTACAGCACATCAGCTCCAATCAATACTCTGCCGTAGCAGAAAGCAAAGGGAAAAGAGGAACAAAAAGAGGTTTCTCATTTGCAAGGGATTTGGGGCTTTTGTTGTGTTTGGAGGGAGGAGTGGAAAAAAAAAAAAAAAGCTTGAGAAAGGGCTGGAAAGGAAGAGCTGGGAGGGACAGAGCAGCACCCACCCCTCTGAGACAGTGCTGTAGGGGGCACCCTCTGAAACACTCGGGGTGCCAGGCAGAGCATGTGGGCATGGGGTGGGATTGGGATGGGAACAGGGTGGGTGTGGGGTGCTCCATCTCCTCCTGGCACAGAGGGTTCCATTCTTTCCTTCCCAGACCATGGCATCTGCAGCAAAGAGGGGCAAAAGTGGGGGAGAGTGTTTGGCAGAGGAGAGAGAGGAAAAAAGATGCTCAGCCCTGGTCTGGTCCTGCTGAGACCCTCACAAAGTACAACCAGGCTTGGGGATGCTCTAGACAAAACAGGGGTGTTAAAGGAGGGGTTTTAAAAACGAAAATATCTTGCAGGGAAAAGAGCAGAAGTGATGCCACTGACCCCATGTGGGCTGCAGCCCAAGAGCTCTTTGTGGGTGGTTTGTCTGTTGTCTGAGCCATCGATTCCCCCTGTGGAAGAAAAAGGCCCTGACACAGCCAGCGCTGTCCTGTCGTGTCACTCAGGGATGGACAGAGCACTCAACCCTTGGAAAGAGGGCCAAAAAGGGGGACAAAAAGGGGGACAACAAGGCCCCACAATGGGCCAAAAGAGGGGGACAGGGGAGCCTGCACAGGCTCACAGGGCAGTGCTGGAGCAGGAGCTGGGGGCACACAGAGGAGCCTGCACAGGGCAGTGCTGGAGCAGGAGCTGGGGGCACACAGGGGAGCCTGCACAGCCTCAGCACAGGGCAGTGCTGGAGCAGGAGCTGGGGGCACACAGAGGAGCCTGCACAGCCTCAGCACAGGGCAGTGCTGGAGCAGGAGCTGGGGGCACACAGAGGAGCCTGCACAGGGCAGTGCTGGAGCAGGAGCTGGGGGCACCCTGGGCTGCCCTGCTCCTGTGCAGGGACCCCCGCAGCAGCCGAACTCCCAGCAGGGACAGCACCCAGCGGGGACCCGGGAGGGTTTTGTCACTCCGGGTCGGTGGCCCGGTGAAGGACCAGCGAAGGACCATCCGGGCACCGCAGCGCTCTCCCTCGGCTGCTTGGGATGAGGCTCACGCAGCTCCTCTGCATTCCGCGCTCTCGCCGGCGCGGGGACGGAGAGCTTTGAAGGAGCTGCCCTTTCATTATTAATATGATGATGATGTCTGACGCCGTGCGTGTGCAGCGACGGCTCTGCCTCCCCTGGCTCCCTGCCCAGGAAAGCACACGCTGTTCCTGGGGGAGGGCTCGGTGTCCCCCACCCCAGCCCCGTGTCTCGGACAGCCCTGATGCCCCTCTCTGGGCTGGACCCACGGGACATCGGTGCTCTCACCAGCTCTGGCACCCTGGGGATGCACACCGAGTGCGGCTGGACACAAGGAGGGTGAAGTGCCACCCTCTTGTCCCACTCTCTGTGGTGTCCTGTCCCCACGGGGGCGCAGCGCTGACCCCAACCCAGCCTCTCTGCCCGACACCCCCACTACAGCTCTGCTCGCTGTTTAGACCACAGCGTAGGAGAGAGTGTCTGAAATGTTTGAAAAGGCTCTGTTTAGAGCTTGGGTCTGATCCTGTGTTGCTTCAGCCGTTTTCTTCCCCCAGGCCAAGCCGGGACCCCGGGGCAGCGCGGGCAGAGCAGCTTCGGGAGGGGAAACGCTGCCAGGAACCGCAACTCCCAGCAGGAGCCGCAGCCTCCCGGCATCCTCACATCAAACCTCTCCCCGCTTTTGCCCTCGGGCCACAGCCTGAGACATGAATCATCCTCTCCGATGCCTATCGATCCGGGCTGGGCTGCTGGCAGAGCCCCCTCCTCAGCCCCGGGGAGGGTCTGTGCCCATCGGTGCCCGGCCACCACCGTGTGCCCAAAACAAGGCGCACCCTGAGCACCCGATCCCTCCAGACACAGCCTGTGGAGCTGGGTCCAGGGCTGTGGGGCCGTGGGTCTCAGCTGGCCATGGACGCCCCTCCCCATGTCCCCAATTCCACAGCTACAGCCGGACCCTATGACAGGTAACAGGAGGTGACACGGCTCAGTGTAAGTCAGTGATGAGCCAGGCCAGTGTCCCTGCTGGCCCCTGGCCCGGGCAGGGCTCACCCTGAGCATCACTAAAGCTCCCAAAAACACGGACCCCTCTGCCAGGGTGGCAACCTCCATCCCGCTCATGGAGACCTGGAGACCGGCACCTGGGGGCAGCGCTGGCACCGAGCCGGGCCCTGCACCCCGGCAGGCAGCCGCTGTCAGGGGACAATGGGGACAGCGCAGGGGCCAGCGAGGGGCCAGCCCTGCCGGCACAGCCCGGCCAGCCGGCTCCCAGGATCCCATCCTGCAGCACCTCGGCCGTGCGGCTGTGGGTTATGTCAAGGTATGTTGGATTGCAAATTAAGCGTCAGCCCCGCTGCACGGTCCCGGCTCCATCTGCAGAAAATGAGTTGCTGGACTTGGAGAGTGTCCAGTTGTGCAGCTCGGCGTGCCTAACGCCCAGGGCTGACAAGCCACTGAATCACTCCTCCCCGCGCTGCCAGGCCACATGAAGCCAAGATGCATTTCTTTTTAATGATAAGTTTTTATTGTTTGGAGTTCAGCTTAAACAGCTTCCCGGGGGCCAGCGCCTCCTGCCTCCAGCACGGCTGAGCGGAGCAGGGAGCTGAGCCCGGCTGGTGCGGGCACACCGAGCACCGGCGGCACGAGCTGGCCGGGCTCAGCTGCAAAGGGAAGTCCTTGAAAATCATCCATGGGGAAGGAGCCGGGCTTCCAGCCACGAGCATCGCCCGGTAAATCCACACAAAACACCTCTGCAGCCAAAGGCAGGATTTGCACCTGGCCGGGAGACAATGCACACACCCCACACACTCACACAGAGGGAATCGACGGCTTGAGGCAACGCCTGTGCTCCCCTCCCTGCCCCAGAGAGCTCTTTGGGAATATTTGCCAGCCCAGCACGCATCCAGCTCTTCCCAAAATAGGGAGTGTGCCCTGGAGACAAGCTGCTTGAACCCCTGGTCCCCCACACACGCAACCTGCCACCCCTGTGCCACACCTGCCCCACAGACAGGCAGCCCCCACCCCGGTGGAGCCACATGGGAGCTGCTGCAGGTCCCGACAGGGGCTGAGCTCCAGGACAGACCCGGGGGGATTGCGGGGTGCCCAGGGGACGGCCTCACGCTGCAGGACAAGGGGCTGCAGGGCTGCCCAGGAGGTTTCCCAGGGGATTCTCAGCCTGGAGAGAGAGAACTCAGCCTCCCCCCAGCCGGATTGAAGCAGCTCTGAGCCATCGCTGCTCTCACGATGCTCCTCTGAACCTCTCAGCAACGCTCCTGCCCGCAGGTCAGACAAGTGGCAAATAAAAGATTTACGGGAGGTGCGGCAGAGCTATGGGAAGGAAAAACCACATCCACACGGGAGTGGCGGCACACGGGGCCGGGAGGGAGCCCTGGCACGCAGGGCCAGCACCACGGCTTGGGGCTGGGAGCGCTGGGCTTCGGGCATCGCTGTGACCCTGGAGGGGCTGGGGGCGGCTGCTGCCTCGCCCCACCAGCACCAGCTCCGCAGAGTGCGCTGGGATTTGCTCCGAGAGCCCCCCAGCACTTTGGCTACCCTTGGGCACAAAGGTTTGGGGGGGTGGCGATGCCGATGCCGCCCTCTCCGCCCCCCCGCCCGGCACCCTGCCCATCCCTGCCCACCGATGGGACTGAGCCCCACCAGCTCGGGGCGTTCCACCGGAGGATGTGGGGGCGTTTCTCCGGGAAGGGGTGAGCGGGTTCCGGGGCGCCCCTCGCTCTCCCCCCGGGGCCCCTGCAGCACCCCCGATCCCGCTGGCACCCCGCCTTACCTGCTGCCGCTCCTCCAGCTGTGCTGCCACATCTGGGCAGCTGCGGAGCCCGGGGCTGGAGGGGGGGCTGGGGTCCGGGTCCGGAATGATCGGGGGGCAGCGGGCGGTGCCGGGGGGGGCGGGGGGATCCCCCGGGGCATCACCGGGAGGGGTGCCCGGAGCGGGGCCGGGGGAGCCCCGGGGGGGGTCGGGGCGGGCGGGGAGGGAAGATCCACCCCCGTGTCCGTGCCCGTGTCCTCCCTCCCTCCTCTTCCTCCCTCCCTCCTCCTCCTCCTCCTCCTCCTCCTCCTCCGCCGCCGCCGCCGCCGCCGCCGCCGCCGCCCGTCCTCCACCGCGGCCAGCCGGGCAGCGCGGGCGGGCCGGGGGCTGCGCCGCCGGGGAGGAGGTTTGGGGGGGCTTGTGGGGGTCCGGGCACTTACTTGGGCTGGAAGTTGGCGGCGCGATGGGGAACGAGCGTTGGAAAACCGTGGGAGGAGCCTCGCAACTTGAGGATGGGCAGCAGGAGAAATCACAGGTACGGGGCGGGGGGCAAGGGGGGCAGGGGGGGTCACCCAGCCCGGGGGTCCCAGCGAGCCCCCAGTGTCCCCAGCGAGCTTTTCTCCCGGCGCAGCCCAGCGTGGCGAGCTGCCCCCTGTCCCCACCGTGCGAAGCCCCCCGGGCTGCTCCTCCTCACCCCCCTCCCAATTAATGCGTTAATTAACCTGCGGCCAGGGCGCCCACCCAGCCCCGGGGCTGCCCCGGGCTGGGGCAGCGGCCGATGCTCCGGAGCTGCCACACTGCTGAACCGCTCTAAACTGCTTAAATAACCCTTTCCGAGGGATTTGGCATCTCGGCTCCACGCTGCAGCCGGGCTCATCCCTCCCGGTTCGGGGGCTCCCGGCCGCTGGAGCGGCTCTCGGCCCCCGCTGGGTTTTGGGGGGAGGCCGGCGCTGCGGCGGCAGAGCCTGCGGTGACACGCGGGGATCCGGCACGTGCCGGAGCCCGTTTGCACATCCCGCTGCACGTGTGGCAGCCCCGAGCGCGGCCGAGCGGGCTGAGAGCCCGAGAAGCGCAGGATGGCTCGGCTTGGAAGGGACATTAAAGATTACCCAGTTCCGACCCCGCTGCCACGGGCAGGGACACCTTCCGCTAGAGCAGGTTGCTCAATGCCCCATCCAGCCTGGCCCTGGACAGTTCCAGGGATAGGCACAGGGACAGGCACAGGCGTGGATGCGCGCTGAGCGCGGGCAGGGTGGGAAGAAGGAGTGCGGAGTATGGGCAAGCGTGTCTGCGAGCAGCTGGAGGACAGCAAATCTCCAGCGAGCCTGTGAGTGAAGGGAAAGGACCGAGAGCCGGCAGTGCGGCCCTTCCTCGGCACCCAGGAGCTGGGCAAGGATGGGGGGAGCAGCCGTGAGACCCCAGCTGGACCCCAGCTCCGCCACTTCCCTGTCCCCTGACACACGCAGCAAGGCAAGAGAGGGGATTCTGCCCGGCTTCTCCTTCTGCCGGCAGCTCCCGCGCCTCACTGGAGAGGGGCTGCGCTCCCCGGGAGACCCCTGACCCCCCGAGAGGGAAACCAGGGAGAGAAACCAGCCTGCCCTGCCCTGCCCTGCCCTGCCCTGCCCTGCCCTGCCCTGCCCTCCCTGGCAGAGCTCCCTCCCTGCTCGCAGGGATTCGAGCGGTGCCATCCGTCTGGAGCTGCCATCTCCCGGTCCTGTGCTCCCGAGGGCGAGCCGGGCAGGACGGATCCAGCCCCTCCAGCCGTGGAGAAGGCAGCGCGGAGCCGGGTGGTTCGCGGTGGGGTTCAGGGGATGCACAGAGTTTGCCGCGCAGCCGCTGCTGCGGTCCCGGCTCCAGCCCAGCCCAGCTCTGTTCTCACCCACAGAGCGGCTCCATCCCGCCCGTGCTCTGTCCTCTCCTCTTCCCCATCCGCAGAGCGTGGCATGCCGAGGCAGCGGCGGCAGCAGGCTCTGGGTGACGGAGGAGAGCAGGAAAACGGGAGCGGGATCGGCTCAGCCGCTCCGTGCCCGCGGGGGTGACACAGCCCCGGCCCAGGGCGGCTGCAGCCCCGAGCCCGGCAGGGCGGGATGGGCAGCGAGGGTGGGCAGGGACGGAGCGGTGGAGCAGGGCGAGGATGCAAACGGAGCTGCTCAGCAGCTCTGAGTGAGCCATAGGTGCGGGCTGGGACACGGACCCTCGCTGCCCTGGGGCGCCTGCAGCGCTGGGCGGACCCCGGCAGGAGGTGCGGGTACCTGGACTAAAGTTTGCACCAGCAGCTGAGCCCGGGCGATGCAAACCTCAGTGTCCACTTACCTGGGAAGCAGAACACAGGTTCTGGCTCGTCCCTGGCCGAGGGCACAGCCCGGGGCAGAGCAGCCAGGCTGCAGGACCGCTGCCATCCATCCCTCGGTCTGCTGAGCCGAGAGGAGCAGGGATTCTGGCAGGAGCAAAGGGGACTCCTCATCTTAGAGCATCTCCCAGGACAGAGCTCAGCCTCTCCTGCCACCACTCCATCCATGCTCTCCAGGGACCAGCCACCTCTGGGTGCCCTGGGGACAAACCAGCTCCTGTCCTTCCCTTCCCACAGGCTGCAAGAGCTGGAGCTGCTCCTCTCCATCCCCAGAACAGCCAGTCTGGCTGGCTGAGTGGGCTGGGGGATGATTTGAGGGTCCTGATGGGGTCTAGAGCTGCTCAGGAATTGTGGCTGGGTCACCAAGGACCCATGGGTGAGTAGTGTAGATCCTGTGCCAGTGCAGGGCATGGAGAGCCCAACCAGGGACACAACCATCCCTTAGATCCTGCCTGGGGCTCCCTCCAGGCTCCAGAGCAGGTTTGCAAGTGAAGATCTGCTCATCCCAAGCACCACTCAGTCTCACAGCTTCTGCTCTCCTTAGGAAGGAGTGATTTCAAGACACTGGGACCTCCAGCCCAATGGATGTCCCCAGGGGAACATCAATAACCGGGGCAGGGGGGTGTCTTACAGCTGTCCAAAAGCCTTGGCAAGAATTCCGGGAGCTTGAGGCCATAGAACAGACAGTGGGAACCCTGTGGATCATGAGAGCTGGGTCATGGTGAGGCAGCAGCGTGTGGCAGGGGGTGTCTGCAGGGTCCCATGCCAGCACTGGGCATGCTCCTGCAGTGCTGCTTTGCTGGAGGGGCTTGGGGGGACCCCCACCCCAGTTTGGAGTGCTGTTGGTGCCACTGGCTGAGTTTGCCTCCTCTCCCCACTGCAGGTTGCCAGGTAACACAACCTGCCAGCAAAATGCCGTGGGACTCCTGAGGCTGCTGCCACTCAGGATCCTGCAGTCACAAGCAGGGGGGATCCCTTTGGAAGGGGATTGGCTCCCAGTTCCTGTTACTGGTGGGAGGGCAGTGATTGTGGGGCTTGAAGGCTGGAAAACAGCTGGATACAGCTCCTGGTGTGGTGGTACACCCAGGCAGAGCTGTGAGGTTTTGGTGTGTTACAGCTCAGCTGGGATTTCTGTGGCTGTGGGAAGCAGAGCCTCATCCACTCGTGGCTCTCTTCTGGGAGCTCTTTCTGCTCAGAGGGGACCCTCAGGCCCTGCATCCCCATGTGCCCCTCCAGCTGGGCATGGCAGCATTGTGGGGAGCAGCATGGGAGGGCACAAAGTCCTGGAGATGAGGGTGCAGCCACAGCCAGGATAACCACAGGGACAGGGTCTCTGCTCACTCTGTAGATCCCAAACCACCTGACACTGGCCTTTGGTCAGCAGCCACCCCTCCTGTCACTCCAGGGTGCTGAGGGGCCCAGCTGAGCCCAGGTCCTGGGTGTCCACATAAGGATGTGAGCAATGGGCATCTGCCACCATCCTGCTGCTCCTGGGTGTCCCCTGTGCCCCCAGGCAGGGCTCTGTGTCTACTACACACACCAGGCAAACTCCTCAAGCCCCTGCTTGCCCAGAATTTCCCTTATTGCCTTTGACATCTCCTTTTAACCTGCACCGAGGGGCTGAGCCTGGGGCTGTCCCCTCACAGAGCTCCCTGCAGGTGGCTTCACAGTCACTGTTTGATCTGCAGCCTCACTCCACGGAGAGGGGGAGACACCCAGAGCACACCCTGGGGCTGGTGGGGCATCCTCAGCCCCCCGGGCAGCCCCGCTGCAGCTGTGGGGTCACCTTAATGCAAATGGTTGCGTGAGAGGGAATGGAATGAAGGGTGCTTGAAGGAAGGTGTCACTCCAGATAGATGTGCACGGGAGGGGACAGGGCCTGGGAAATCTTTGCAGATGCAGCAATTTTCCCCTCGTTTCTGGGGAAAGTAGTCTTTGTCTCTCTGAATCTGCAGTTTGCTGCCAGCCCTGCAATTCCTTGTGACAGCTGTGGCCAGGGTCAGGGGGAAATCACAGCCTCTGTCCTGCAGGTGTAACGAGGAGGGGAGGGGGACTGGGAGCCAATGGGATCTCACCCACCCTGCACCGACTGTGCTGGCACTCGAGGCTTTGCAGGGAGAAGAGGCTCCTGGTGGGCTTGGAGCAGGGGCCACGGGCTGAGCCCATGGGTCTGAGCAGCAGCAGAGCTGCCAGAGGGGCTGGGGGGTCATAGACCTTTCCCAGCAATTCTCCCTCGCCAGGAGGCTCTGGGACTGATCCAAAGGCTTTGGGAGCAGCTCTGCCCCCCTCCAGCAGGAAATGAGGTGACAAGGGGGATGAAGATGAGTTGCCTGCCATAGCTGGGAGCTGCCCTATGCAGAGCAGGTCCCCATAGCACTCAGGGCAACGTGACCCCAGCACTGCCCCAGAGCCACCAGTGCTGCTCTCCCTGTGATCCCTGCTGTGAGGGACACAAGGTGTTTTCCCATTTTCTCCCCACATTTGTGCCCAGGGCAGCAGGGAGCCCCACACACATCTCAGGGCTGGAGCAGCCGAGGATCAGAGCTGTAAATAAAACATGCCACGGGAGCAGGCGGGGCCGTGCCTTCGCTCTCGTTATTATTTCATGGCCGGCTCCTCGGCGGGCTCGGCCACTCTGCTCACTCACTGTGGCCTCCGTGTCCCTGCAGGGCTCCCTGGGGTGCTCCCCGCCCTCAGAGCCATTGCCAGACCCCAAACGCCGTCGCTCTGGGCTGAGGGGACGGGGCAGTGCTGACGGTGTGTCTGTGTGCCCGCAGAGGATGAGCTGTGGCTACATCCTGTGCACCGTGCTGCTCTCGGTGGCCGTGCTCCTGGCGGTGACAGTCACGGGGGCCATCCTCTTCATGAACCACTACCACACGCCCGTCACCGAGCCGCCCCCCGTCATCAGCACCAACCCCGAGGAGGCCAACGCGCTGGTGACCATCGAGAAGGCCGACAGCTCCCGCATCAACATCTTCATCGACCCCAACTGCCCCAGCGCCGCCGGCGCCCTGGGCCGCCTGGAGGGGCTGCAGGGCTCCCTGCTGCACGCCCTCACCGAGCACGACGCCGACGCCAAGGCCACCAAGAGCCAGCAGAAGGCCCTGCTGGTGACGGTGGCGGACGAGGTGGCCAAGCTGCTGAGCCACGCCGTGCAGCTCCGTGCCGACTGTGACGGGCTCAAGAAGGGGCACAGCGCCATGGGCCAGGAGCTCAGCGCCCTGCAGGGAGAGCAGGGCAGGCTCATCCAGGTGAGCTGGGGCTGGCAGAGCCAGGCAGGGCAGGCCCTGCTCCTCCCGCTGCCATGAGCCACCCAACTACAATCCCCTACACCACCCTAACCTGAACCTCCTCACTTATCCTCCTCCTTACCCTGGGACTAGTCTGTGAATGAATTCAAGGCAGATTAGAATGAGCAGAATAACAGAAAGTTAGTCTAACTAAGACGGTTGATTTCGACTCAACAGATCATAGCTCCCACCCTATAACTTTCTTTATGTCCTACCTCCACCTAAGCTTCTACTCAGCCTTCACCCTAAGCAGCCTAGGCCTAGCCTTCCACCAAACCCACCTATCCTAACCCACCAAACCCCACAAATCCCTGGGGGTGGCATTCCCTGTGCCAATGTCCCCGTGCCATGGCTGCTCCTGCCCTCAGCATCCAAGGCAGAGCTCCTGGCAGGGCTCCCTGGGGTGGAATTCTCTGTCCCAGTGTCCCTGGGGTTTGGCTGCTCACAACCCCTGCCCTCAGCATCCAGGGGAGAGCTGCAGGAGAAGGAGCTGAGGTTGAAGTGCTTGGGAATTGGAGGCTGGGAAGTGTCTCCCTGCCAAACCACCCCAGTGCCAGTGAGCCTGGTGTGAAGCCTCCCACCTTGTGGGTGTCCCAGCTCCAGGTCCAGTTTGGGAGCTCCAGTCAGAGCCAAGCACACCACAGAACCTTCTCAAGGGCAGTTCATGCAGAAATGAGCCCCCCCTCCTTACAGTCCCCAAAATTTCCCAGCCAATGAGCTGTGTTGAAATGCTTACCTGAGTATGCCAGGGGTCTGCCAGGTGTCGCAGCAAGATCCAGGGCATGGCTGGGGCTCCATGCCTGACTCTCCTGGTACTCAGCTCCCTCTGCCCAGAGCTGCTTGTTTCTCGCTGCTTCTCTTCTCTGCCCATCCTGGTGCTCTGCCACAGCCACCCCGTGTCACTGTCCCAGCCTGGGTCACCTCAGGGGATGAGAGGAGCTGGCGGCTGCCTCAGGACACGGCTATTCCTGCCGCCTCCGTCATCCTGTCCTTGCCCAGAAATGCTCTTTATCCATGGGATTGCAGCACCACTGCACCCAGGTTTGGGCCTTTCTCCTCCCTGGGGGCAATAGGTGCTTATCTGGACCTTGACCCCTGCCAAAAACCAACAAAGATCAGAGATAAAGCAGCAGAGATGTTTTATGGGATCTGTGGATTTACGCCCTGGCATTGCTGAGCACAGCGCTCAAGGGGCTGGGATGTGGAAGGGATTTAACCATTTCACCACAATTTCTGTGTCCCCCCCGTGTGCCCTGCCCGCAGCTGCTGTCGGAGAGCCAGAGCAGCATGGCTCGGCTGGTGAGCTCTGTCAGCGACGCCCTGGACTCGCTGCAGAGGGAGCGCGGCGGGGCCCGGCCCCGGCTCAAGGCTGACCTGCAGCGAGCCCCGGCCAGGGGAGCCCGGCCCCGGGGCTGCTCCAACGGTGAGAGGCATCCCTGGGGAGAGGGATGTGCCTGGGGCTGCCCGGGGCAGGGAGGAACGGCCAGCATGGGGCAGAGCATCCTGGAGAAGGGATTTAGTGCAGCGCGGGAGGTGGAGGAGGAGGGAGAGGGAAAGGTGTGTCCTGGGAGGGGGAGTTCTCACCGTGCCGCTCCCAGCTGTCCATGAAGCAGCCCAAAAGCCCCTTCACACCCCTGCAAACCCATCTGCTCCTCACAGAGGGTAGCAGGGACCAGGCAGGGCATTCACCTCCATCGGGTGTGGAGGGTGGCCCTGCACAGTCACGTCCCTCAGCCTTGGGCTGGGATGCAGCTGAGGGAGCCTGTCCTGGAGCTGGGAGCATGTGCCCACAGCCTCCCTGGGCACTGGCTGTCCCTTGTCCCCATCTGGGTGCCAGCTTGCCCTTGCCATCTCACAGGGACATGAGGTCAGGCCCTGCCAGCTGCTGGGGAGCCCCATCCCCCTTGGCACTGCTCACCCCGAGCATCAGAGGAGAAGGGAGGGAAAGAGCAAAGCAGCACCAAGCTGGAAGCAAGGTTGGGAGCCTGGAAGAAATGGCAAGACATTAAATTAGCCCATTAATTAACCAGCTTTCCCCTCATCCCACCCCACCCCAATGGCTGCAGGCTCCCGGCCCCGAGACTGCTTTGACATCTACGTGAGTGGACAGCAGGAGGATGGGATTTACTCCATCTTCCCCACCCACTACCCTGATGGCTTCCAGGTCTACTGTGACATGAGCACGGATGGGGGCGGCTGGACGGTGAGTGAGCTGCCAGCAGCCTGCTGGGGACACGGGGAGATGGCACTGCTGGCACTGCTGGGCAGGGGAGATGGCACTGCTGGGGACACGGGGAGATGGCACTGCTGGGGACACGGGGAGATGGCACTGCTGGCCCTGCTGGCCCTGCTGGGGACACGGGGAGATGGCACTGCTGGCCCTGCTGGGGACACAGGGAGATGGCACTGCTGGGGACACGGGGAGATGGCACTGCTGGGGACACGGGGAGATGGCACTGCTGGCACTGCTGGCCCTGCTGGGGACACGGGGAGATGGCACTGATGGCACTGCTGGCCCTGCTGGGCAGGGGAGATGGCACTGATGGCACTGCTGGCCCTGCTGGGCAGGGGAGATGGCGCTTTGGACACCTGGAGGTGTCACCAGGAGGGACAGTCGGTGTCAGGGGGGCCTGGCTGTGCACCCAGAGGTGCCCAGTGGTGGAGCTGGAGCCCAGTGCCTGCCCTGACCTGGGGAGCTGGGCTGGAGCTGGAGGGGGTTCAGGCAGGGAGTTGGTGCCACCTCTGGAATTTGTCCTTCTCAGCAGGGCTGGGCTGTGGCTGTGCTTTGCCCCGGTGAGGTGGTGCTGGGGCTCAGGGCAGACCCCAAACCCGGACATTTGGCCTCATTTTTAAGGCCAGGGTGCCTGGGGCACCACGGGAGCTCTGCTGATTCACTCCCTGTCCGATTGGCTCTGCCACAGCAGCTGCAATGGGCTGTGATCACAGCAATGGGGACACAGCTCTGCCACTGCCCCAGGGAGCAGCTGGGGCCAGCAGCTCCCCCTGCCCTGGAGGGCATCACTTGGGGTGCCAGCAGGAGGGGTGGGCAGGCAGCCTGTGCCCTGAGAACGCTCTGGATGAGCAGAGCTGGCCAGCACCCTCCAGCTGGGCGCTCGAGGAAACAAATCCCCACCATCTGATCCCCCTAAGCAGCTTTGAGCAGGGCCAGGGGGGAGCTTAGCCCCCCTGCCCTCAGGGGCTGGTGAGAGGCTCTGAGAGCCCACCCAGGGCAGCAGGAACCTGTGGTGTGAACCAGGGTGGTACCAGCAGCTCCAGTGGGGAAACTGAGGCACAGCACAGCCAGGGACCTCAGCTCCAGGGGGATTACAGAGGGGAGAGGGGACCCTTCTGGCTCCCCAAGGTGCAGAGGGTCCTTGCAAACCCCGTGCACAGCCTGCACAGCCTCTGCCAGCCCCAGCCAAGCCTGAAGAGCAGCCCAAGGTGATTAGTGAGACACTCAGAGGCTTATTTAAAGCTGCTGCAGGCTGGGGAGGGGGCTCAGCGAGGGATTCTGAGCCTGGGAGTGCAGTGGCACAGACACCACAGAGTCACCCCTGTCTTGATGGGGCCAGGAGCCAAAGCAGGACCCCACAGACAGCCAGGGCTGGCCTGAGGGTGCCCACCCCAGGCTCCTGTTTCTGGGGTGCTCTGCAGCAGAGGGTCCCAAACGTGCCCCCAGTCCCTTGGGTGCAGGGATTGTCTCAGCACTGCCTGGCCCAGGCTCCAGGTGAGCCATGGCATGGATGGGTGCCATGGGGCAGAGCCTGGGAAATCCCCTTCCCCTTCCCCTTCCCCTTCCCCTTCCCCTTCCCCTTCCCCTTCCCCTTCCCCCCTCCTCTCTGGAGTGATTTCTCCTGACATTTGGGCTTATTTGCATGTGGGTGGGTGGGCGGAAGTGATGGCAGCAGCTGAATCAATTTTGACTCGGGATCTTGGGAGCTGCTGAGCTCAGCTTTAGGCTGCCTGGGCAGCTCAGAGGCCAGGGGCAGAGCTCAGGACCTCACTGTCCCCAAGCCTGCTCTGCAGGGTCCTGCTTGCTCCCTGTCCCCATCCTGGGCTGTTTTGTCCCCCCTCAGTCCTGCCCGGCAGCAGCAGGGCCACGTTTGTGCTGCTGGGGATGTGGATCTGGGTCAGTGCCATCCATGCCCTGTGCCCAGCCCTGCCTGGGGCTGCAGTGGCTGCCCTGGGGCTGCCCAGCCCAGCTCTGCCCCTGACACCCACCTCTGGCTCTTTCTTGAAGTGATGATGGCATGGCAGAGGTCAAGGGAGCTCAGCATCCCAGCAGGCTCCAAAAGTGTCCTCTTCACATGATGTTGGCTTCAGAATGTCTTTGAGAATGCCCCACACTCCTCCCAGTGCCTCTGAGCCTCCATTGCTCCTCATTTGGGGCAAAATGCCCCGGGATCAGCCCCTCAGCATCACCTCCATGTGCAGCATGCACTGGGAAATGGTGGGAGAGCCAAAGAAAGCAGCAGAAAAGGCTGTGCCAGCAGCACAAGGGCTGTGGTGACATCAAGTGACAGCTTCCAGCTGCAGGGGCACCTGCTGTGCTGGGACACGGGTGGGGACAGCCTCACCAGCCTGGGCAGCCCCTGCTGCAGGGATGGGGCTGGGCATTGACACTGGGCTGGGGCAAACCACAGGCAGGGGCTGAGAGGAGCCACAAACACGTCCCCTTTCCAGGGGATGTGGTTTCTGTGTCACCACAAACAGGACAAGACAATTCTGCTGGCAGGGCCAGGCAGGAGCAGCTCCTGGGACGGGCAGAGCTGCCAGCCCTGGTGTTCACAGGCTGCCCCAAGGCACTGGCACATCCTGGGGCCTGGCTCTGCACTGCCCAGAGCTTTCTCCCTGCCTTTCTTTGGGTCTCCCTGCTGTGACAGAGTTCAGAGGACAGGGGACAGGGCTGTGGGCTCTGTGCCATGGCTGCCAAAACTGGAGCAGGAGCCTGAACTCTGTGGTGGTGATGTCCCCACACTGGGAGCTTCAAGCCCACCAGGAGTTTGGTGGAGCTGAGGGAGAGGAGCTGCCAGTGCCATGGCAGGCACAGGCTGGTGCTCCCACTTTTCCCTGCTTTTAACCCATTTTTCTGTGTTTGTGGCTTTGCAGGAGCCTGTCCCTGCCCCACAGGGGCAGCTGGGGGAGGCAGAGAACGAGGGAGATAAATATTTCAGCCTTGCCTTTAAAGAAGGGAGGGAAATCCTTTTTGCTTAAGAGGGGGGTGATGCATATTTGATGAGGAGGAAGAGAGCAGCGAGGCAGGGCTGGAGCACATGAGCCTGCAGGTCACTGGTGCACCCAGCATCCCCAGCATCCCCAGCATCCCCAGCATCCCCAGCACCCCAGAGGGTGACCAGGAGGCTCCCACAGCCCTGCCTGCACCTGGAGGGGGCACAGAAGAGGCACAGAAGGGACTGTACATGAGAGATGGTGAGGATGGAGCAGGAGACTCGGGAGGACACAGCACCTCCAGCACTCACCAGCAGCAAACCTGGTTTTGAGCCCCCGTGGGGCTGAGCCTGGGGGGCAGAGGGGCACTGAAGGCTTCTCCTGGGGTGATTCCTGAGCTGTGCCAAGCTCAGGCAGTGGAGCCCTGTCCCACACGCTTCCCTGGGCACCACTCAGGCAATTGGCCTATTTAGAGCTGTGGCTCAAAGCCGATTAGGAGGGAGCACTGGTGCTGCAGCCACCGCCTTCCCCATGCCAGCCACGGAGCTGGTGGTGGCTGGGGAAAAGCAGCTTCAGGCCCCTGTCCAGCCGTGCTGTCCCCCTTTCCCAGCAAGGCTGAAGAAAGCCCCTTTAAATGGGCTTAACCACAGCTTCTCAAGTGCTCAACGCAGGGATAAAAATTAAGGCTCTAATTCTAGAAGGTAAGTACAGCAGGATCAGAGCTGTGCCAGAGCCTCAGCCGGCACAGCCAGCCCCAAAAACGCCCATCTGGGGAAGGGCAAACAGTGAGAGGGTCACAGGGTGGTTCTGCTTCACCTGCCAGGGTGAAACCCGGTGTGGGAGGGCAGGGGCAGCCATGGGAGCAGAGCAGGGTGGCTCAGGGCTCATCCGCATTCCCCAGCCCTGCAGTGCTGGAAGCTCAGCTGGGCAGCCCTGAGGATGAGGTTCTCTGGCCCCTGGCAGGGCTCTGCCCAAGCCACCAAGTGTCCCAGCTGTCCCCACCACGGCCTTGGGACCGCAGAGCTTGGTGGGAGTGGGGCAGGCTTGCTCAGCCAACTTTAATGCAATTAATCCAGGGCTGGAGGCTTAATTAAGTTCAAATGGTCGGGCATGAAGCAGCATTTTCTGGATCGCTGTCAATAAATCAAACCCAAAACTGTGGATAAAAGGGGATGGAACACACAGGGCACACGGGCTGGTGAGCAGATGGGAGAGGAAAAGGGAAAGGCTCGGAGCAGAAAAGCTGCATTGAGCCCTGGGATCTGGCTGGGATCTGGGGGCTCTGCAGGGCTCAGGACACTCCGTGCCTCACAGTTAATTTCTCTGGGAGATTAATGAGGCTGTCACAGAGATGATGTTTTATAATGGGGTGCCTTCCCAGGAGAGCAAGGAGATCCAGGAGGAAGAAATCAGCCCTGCTGGGTTTTCACACAGCTCTGGGCACCCACTGTTGGCAAGGAGGGCTCACAGCAACCTGGGCACCCCGTGCTGCTGCACAGAGCTGGGGTCGAGCCCCCTGTGTCCCTGCTCACCTGTGCAGGAGCAGCCTGCAGGGTGTCCACCCCCCCAGGGACACCCCACGACTTCCCAAGGAACTTCAGGTTTCCCGAGCTCTGCTCACATTTCCAGACAGAGGATCCTGTGAAGGGCTTTGCCTGAACGGACTCACCCACCCCTGGGATGGAGCCTTTCCCCGGGGAGCTCATCCCTGTGCAATCACGGAGCCCACAGGGTTTAATTTGTGCCGCTAATTAGGCAGCGGCAGGGAGGGGTGGGCAGCGCGGTGGGGAGCACGGGGGTCACGCAGGCTGGGAGCAGCCCCACAGCTGATGCCCTTTGTGTGTCCCCAGGTGTTCCAGCGGCGGGAGGACGGCTCCGTGAACTTCTTCCGTGGCTGGGAAGCCTACCGGGACGGCTTTGGGAAGCTGACAGGAGAGCACTGGCTGGGTGTGTGGGGCTGGCGCTGCTGGCTCCTGGCAAAGCCTGGGGAGCTCTGGGGTCCCTTTGTGATGGAGGGGACACCGGAACCCCCACCCGTGGGCTGGGAGGGATGGGCTGGGCAGGCAGGGAGGGGCTGCAGCCCTGGGCACCCCATGCCCACACTCACCCCTCTCCCTCTGCCAGGGCTGAAGAGGATCCACCTGCTGACCGTGCAGGGCAGCTACGAGCTCCGCATCGACCTGGAGGACTTCGACAACGGCACCGCCTTCGCCCACTACGGCAGCTTCGGGGTGGGGCTCTTCTCCGTGGACCCCGAGGAGGACGGGTACCCCATCACCATCGCCGACTACTCAGGGACAGCAGGTGGGGCAGCGGGATGGGGGGCACATCCCCCATGGGCGGGGGGGGACACAGCTGTGGGGCTGTTCACAGGGGTCTTAGGAAGAGGGAAGAGATGAGGATCTGACTCCATGTTTCAGAGGGCTAATTTATTACTTTATAAAAAGAAATATTATTTTGTATTCATATATAAATATAAAATATTATATTTTATATATAGATAATATTTATAAATAATATAAATAGATATTTTATATATCAATATTTATATGTCAATAATTTTATATAAACAATATTTTATATAAACATATTTATATAAATATATATTTTATATAAATATAAAATATATATTATATTTATATAATATAAATATATATTTATATATGTATAACTTATATTTATATAATATAGATGTATATTTATATTAGATAAATAATATACTGTGAATATTATATTATCTATAATATAATATATAGATATAAAACTATACTAAATATATATAGATATATATAGATATATATAGATACTAAATATATATAGATATAAAACTATACTAAAAGAATAGAAGAAAGGATTTCATTAGAAGGCTTGAACAGAATAGAAAAGGAATGAAAATGGAATGATGATAAAATCTTGTGACTGACCAGACAGTCCAATACAGCTGGACTGTGATTGGCTATTAGTTAGAAACAACCTCATGAGACCAATCACAGATGCACCTGTTGCATTCCACAGCAGCAGATAATAATTGTTTATATTTTTTTCCTGAGGCTTCTCAGGAGAAAAAAATTCTTAAGGAAAAGATTTTTCATAAGACATGTCTGTGACACACAGGCACCAACCTCCTCGCTGGGGTGTCCCAGTGTCCCATGGCAGCAGCACCAGCTGCATCCCTGCGGCCTCGGGGAGATGGAGGTGGGTGAGGTTGGGCATCTGCTGGAGGAGCAGGAGGTGCCCATCAGGATCTCCTCTCCCCTGGCACAGGTGACTCCTTCCTGAAGCACAACGGGATGAAGTTCACCACCAAGGACCTGGACAACGACCACTCGGAGAACAACTGCGCCTCCTTCTACCACGGCGCCTGGTGGTACCGCAACTGCCACACGTCCAACCTGAACGGGCAGTACCTGCGGGGCCACCACAGCTCCTACGCCGACGGCATCGAGTGGTCCTCCTGGACCGGCTGGCAGTACTCGCTCAAGTTCACCGAGATGAAGATCCGGCCCATCCGCGAGGAGAATTAGCTGATGGCATCAGCGCCCGGTCCCCTGCCCCTCCCCAGCACCCTGCAGACCCAATCCCTCAGCTGCCATCCTCCTCATCCTCTCCGAGGGCTTGCCCACCTCTGAGGGGCTCATGGGGAGCACCTGCTGCCAGTGAGGGTGACTTTGGCTCCTGGGCACCCTGAGAGTTGTCAGACCTTTGCTTCCCACTGCCATGACCAGGTGTCCTGGCCGGAGCGTGACCCACGGCCTGTGCTCCTGGCTGGGGCACAGAGGATGCAGGTATTTGGGCAGAGGTGCCAGCAGGAAGGAAAGGAGCTGCCTGGAGGGAAGGAAGGAGGGAGGGAGGGAAATGCAGCAGCCCAGGCAGGCTGAGCACCTCTGGTCACCTCTGCCCTGGGCACTGACACCTGGCAGTGGGCTCACCAAGCTGGCAAGGGGCTGGGGGCATTGTCATGGGCCCCCCAAACGCCCAGGACTGGGGTGAGGCTGCTGCTCCACAGCTCCAGCTCCCCCCATGGTGCTACTGGTGATGGGGAGGCTCAGCTGGGCCAGCCTGACCGTGCCAGCAACTCCTCCCCTGGACTGCAGAGCAGCGCAGCTGGGGAGGGACAACCACCAGCTCCTTACTCCCCATTGTCCCTGTCCTGAGTCCTGGAGCCTCCCAGCAGGTCACGACACCCCAAGGGGAGCCAGACCAGCGCTGCAAGGACGCACACCCAGAGCTGAGCACACCACGGAGCTGCTTTGGCAGTGCTGGGCAAACAGGGAGCACAGCAAGGAAGAGGAGGAGGCGAGGAAGGCTCACTTCCCAACGCAGCTCTGCCTGCAGTTCACAGCCCCTCCCTCCCAACCAGACCCACTGGGATTCACATCAGACTTTCACCATCCAGAGGCTGTGACCTTTCCTCAGACCCTTTGGGCAGCTCAGCCACATCCCCCTGTGAGCCCCTCTGCTCACTGCTGGCCTGGACACTGCATTCTGAGCTGTGGCACTGGCTGGGCACCTGCAGATATCCAAAGCCTTTCATTTCCTCAAATCCTGTTAAGGTTTTGCAAAAGAGAAGCCCCGAGTGGGGCTTAGCATCTGCAGGGCCCTGATAACTGGGCAGCAGCACCAGCCAGCCCAGGCAGGAGCTGCCATGGGCTGTGGGACTGATGTCTCCTGCTGGCTCCCTGGAAGGACTCAAATGGGGGATTTTGTCCAAAAAAAAACGAGAACCAAATGTGAGCAGACTCTGGACTGAGAGGGGAGGGGACAGAGAGAGCCCTGCCACCCTTTACAGCATTCTCTGCCCGTGCTACAGCAGAGCCCTGCCCCAAGAAACGCCATCAGACAGACAGATGGACTGAGGAGGGGAGGAAAACTCCCCCTGCCTCCATTTCCAGGGGAGCTTAAAGCACGGGGAGATCAAAGGCTCAGCTTCCCAACTGTGCCAGGTTTGTACTTCCCTCTGTGAATCTTTTTTTTTTTTTTAAGCCTTCCCCACCTCGGATCTTGTGCTGGACAGGATCTCTCACCTACTGGGTGAGTGTCTGTCTGTCTGTCCGCCCTGACAGAGAAATGGACAAACGATGCACTGGGATCACCACAGCTTTTTACTCTGCCAGAGAGACCCTTCAGAGCCCTCGGGCGAGGGAGAGCCCTGAGTGGAGGGCACTCAACTCTAAGCACTCCATCCATGCCCAGAACGATGGGGACTGGGGGAACTCAGCAGTGGCATTTCTCAGCACAACAGCAGGAGCCCTGACAGCTTCCAAGGAGCTTCCTGCATTCCACTGGACCTTCCTGGAAAGGTTCCTGCCTGCACCCATCTGTACTTTTCGATCAGTTTTTTTTGGTAGATTAGCTGTGGCTGGGTTTTCTGATGCTTTGGGCAGGAATGCACATGGAACCATGGAATGCACGTGGAACCCAGCTTCCCATGTGCTGGGTGAGAAGGCTCATCCCCCCCCCAGACCCCTCCAATGGCATTCTGCCGTGCCAGGGAGGGAATGTTGTAGGTTGGTTTGTTGGTAGCACATCCTTGTGTAACTGCCTGTGCCACCCAGGACCCCCCAGAGATTTGTTTTGACTTGCACGAGAGGTTTTTAATCCATGCCAAGACGCAGGATTTCCCAGGATTATTCCCAAGAGCTCAAGCATTGCTCCATGGCCCTGGATTAGGTTAAACCCATCTGTGGTGACACCTCCCTGGAAAGGGGTGGGCAGGGGTGACCGTGGGGCTGGGATGTGGCCATGGACCTTCCCAGAGAAGCCCTGGGCCAGGCCCTGGTGTGTAGCAGTGCTGTGAAGTCTAGGTCGTGTGTGAGTGTGTCCAAAGCTGTACATGTGGACTTTCTAAACTCCTTAATAAAAGGATCTCATCGTTACTCACTGTGTGACAGCTGTGACAGCACGGGGACACGGCCAGAGGGACGGCAAAGGGAGAGACACTGAATCTCTGCAGCTCCTCGCTGTGCTGGGGGATGGCTCCTTCCCCGTGCCAGGCTCATGGCACAGCACCCTTGGGGACCTGCACCATCACCACACCAAAACCACTCTGCAAAACAAGAGCTGGGACACCCAGGGGCTGAGGCCTGAGGCTTCCCAGGGCTCCAGCCCAAACCCGGGCCCTGCAGGACCTTGGGGTGGCCCCAGGACTGGGGCTGGGGAGGTGGCAGTGTCTGTGCCATGGGGACCTGCTCCAAGGGACAGAGCACCAGCGATGCCCCAGTCCCTCCCTGCTGCCCACTGCACATTCCACTGCCACAGCCAGGACAGACCTGGAGGGGACAGCAGGGTGCCTTGGGGACCGTGTTCCAGCACTGGGGCTGTGTGTGCTGACCAGGGAGGGTGGCAGCACTCGGGCACGTCCATGTGGGGCCAGGCCCTGGGCGGGTTTGGGGTCTCCAGTGGTGCCTGTGCACACAAACAGATGGGTGGCACCCCCAAGAGCTGCACACAGGACACACCAGCCCGATGAGGGGGACACACGTGGGCCCCCAGACGAGCCCCTCCATCCCTGCAGCACCCCTGACAGCTGCCAGGGACACAAGGGCAGCTCCCGGCTGCTCCTCCAAATGAGGCAGCAGCCGAAAGCAGCGCGTTAATGAGCGGCGTTGCTGCGTTCCCATTGTGGCAGCTCCACCAACCCCTGTCCCCTCCGTCCCCTGTTCGGCTCCCTCCCCGAGGGTCCCCCCCTCCTCTCCCTGCGGCCACACGCCCAGGGGTGACACGGCAATCGGCGCCCGTGGCTATTTAATGGCCCAAGGCGGGTCCTGCTCATCGGACTCGGGGCGGGCAGAGAGGTGCCAGGGGAGGCAGCACTGGGCAGCACCGAGGTGCAGAGGTAAGTGACTGGTGTCCGTGTGTCTGTCTGTCCGTCTGTCCCTGCTTTACACCCCTGCCTCGATGGGCAGCACAGCCGGGGAGCAGTGAGAGGCTGGTGGGAAGCAGCTGGGGACCCACAGCACCCCCAGAACCCAGGATGGGACTCAGAAATTTGGATCCGTGACGGGAAACGGGGTGGAAAAGGGAGAGAGCAGAACAGAGGCAAGGTGTGAAAAAGGTAGGGGTGAAGCCCGAAGTGAAGCCTCTATGCTAAGGGGTGTTGGGAAGGGCAGGCAGGGGCTTGAGTGCACCTGGGTCTGGCACAGGAGGGAGAAACAAACCCTTGGGTGGAGCAGACAGCCTGGCCCCCAGCACCTGCAGCAGCTTTAAAGGCAATATCTAATAATAATAATAATAATAATAATAATAATAATAATAATAATAATAATAATAATAATAATAATAATAATACCCGTTTTCTCTTTCTGGGAAGAGGAAGGGAAGGCAGGGGGGAGCTCGGACCCTCTCTGGGGCTGGGTGCTGGTGTGGAGGCTGCTGCAGGAGGAGCAGTGGATGCTCGGGGGGTTCTAGCAGGGCTGGTTTGGGGAACAGCCCAGGGCAGCCCCTGCTCCCCTGACATTCCCTCCCCTCCCTGCGCTTCCCCCAGATGAGAACACCCTACTCGCTGTCCTGCCTGCTCCTCCTGAGCCTGGGAGCCTGCTTCCCTGCCGGCGAGCGCTGGGAGCCGGCACAGCCCGGGGAAGGGGCTCTGCTCGGTCCTGGCTGGCAAGCGGCGGCGGAGGGCCGGGGTCCCGGCTGGAGGGCAGGCCCGAAGCGGAGGAGGAGCGAGGAGGAGCGGGACGCGCTGCTGAGCATCGCCCGGGAGCTGCGGGCGCTCGGGGCCGGGCGGCGGCCGGGCAGGAGCGGCGGCCCCGAGGCGCTGCCCAGCGGAGGGGAGAAGCGCAGCGGAGCCCTGGGCAACCTGGCGGAGGAACTCAACGGCTACAACAGGAAAAAAGGGGGCTTCACCTTCCGCTTCGGGAGATGAGAGCTTGGACTGCATTCCCCACCTGCTGCGGGTCGCCCCGTCCCGTCCTTCCCTTCCGTCTCGCCTGGGTTTGCTCGGAAAAAAAGGATATTTGGGGGTTTTTCTGCCGGGGGTGCCTTGGGGAGGGGGGACGCTGTGTTTGCCCCATTCCCAGCTCTGCTCTAGATCTCCCATCCCTGTTCCTGACCGATGCAATGGAAGAAGAGGAGGACGCCTTGAGGAGAAATCACCAAATCCCTTCCCTGATCACACAGAGCTTTTGCTGGGGCACAGGGAAAGGGCCTGGTGCTGGGTCTCCAGCGCTGGCAGAGAGCAGGGGTGGCACACGGGCATGGGCAGAGCAGGGGTGGCACAATGGGATGGGCAGTGCCAGCAGGGCCGGGCAGCAGGGCTGCAGGGTTCCAGCAGGGTGGCTGTGGTGCTGATAGTCCCCAGGGAATGTCTGTAGTCCAGGGCCAGCCATCAGGGAGGAGAGGGTCCCTCAGAGCTGCTGCTCTCCTGCCTATTAAGGGAAAGTCCCTCGGGCAGCAAATTCTGCTTAGTGTCAAGATGCCTCTTACACGAGGCAGCTCCTGCCTGCAAAACCAGGGCAGAGCAGCAGGGTTCGAGAAAATCTTGTCCTTAGCAGCCCCCAGTGTGAGCACAGAACCCTGCCCTGGCTCCACCAGCCCTGCCACAGCCCCACAGCCCTGCCCATGCCCCACACTCCTCACCAGGGTGAGATTGTGATGCTTGACCTTCGATGTCCTTGTCACCACCCAGCTCCTCAGACAGCCTGGCCCTTCCCAAAGCCTTCCTGGCCTCCTCACCACCTAATCCAGCTGTAGCTACTGCAGAACTTGGTGCAGAAGGACTGAAACAAGAACTTCTGACACTGAGAGGT